ATTACTAGATCTTTGTGCTAAACTTGGACTGATATTTCTTGGGAAACAAAGGGTTAATATAATGAAAGTGAAATGGACCAATCACAGTTTTTCTTCCAGTTGTTTCTGGGTAAATCAGTGACTCCCCCTGCAGCGCTGAACTAAACAAACAAGCTCAGCTCAGAGCCGCGGCTGCTCCGCGTGGTTGAACCCGGGCTCACGGAGGCTCGGACACGTTGCGTCTCACGTGGTCAGAAAAAAGTGAAAAAAAGTGTAAAGAAAAGACGTCAAACTTAAAGAAACGCTCGCGGTGAACTTTTTCAAAATAAAAGCCAGTGAGAAACAGACATTTACAATAAAATAAGTAATAAATAATAAAAACTGCGTTAACGGTGCTAAAATAATTGTCGGCGATAATAACTTAATCAGTTAACCCAAAATTAACGCGTTAACATGTCCGGCCTTAACATTTTTACATCACTAAATATATCAACTTTTATATCAGCATCGGAAAAAATCTGTATCAGTCGAGCCCCAAAAGAAACTGAAGCAAAGTCCAAAACCTGGAGCTGGATCAGTCCTCGTGTTGTGGTGAGTGTTTCTTGTTGCGGTGAGTGTTTCATGTTGTGGTGAGTGTTTCATGTTGTGGTGAGTGTTTCTTGTTGCGGTGAGTGTTTCTTGTTGTGGTGAGTGTTTCTTGTTGCGGTGAGTGTTTCTTGTTGTGGTGAGTGTTTCATGTTGTGGTGAGTGTTTTCTTGTTGGGTGAGTGTTTCTTGTTGCGGTGAGTGTTTCTTGTTGCGGTGAGTGTTTCCTGTTGCGGTGAGTGTTTCTTGTTGTGGTGATGTTTTCTTGTTGTGGTGAGTGTGTGTTTCTTGTTGTGGTGAGTGTTTCTTGTTGTGGTGAGTGTTTCATGTTGTGGTGAGTGTTTCATGTTGTGGTGAGTGTTTCATGTTGTGGTGAGTGTTTCATGTTGTGGTGAGTGTTTCTTGTTGCGGTGAGTGTGTTTCATGTTGTGGTGAGTGTTTCATGTTGCGGTGAGTGTTTCATGTTGCGGTGAGTGTTTCTTGTTGCGGTGAGTGTTTCATGTTGTGGTGAGTGTTCTTGTTTGCGGTGAGTGTTTCATGTGTGGTGAGTGTTTTCTTGTTGTGGTGAGTGTTTCTTGTTGTGGTGAGTGTTTCTTGTTGTGGTGAGTGTTTCTTGTTGTGGTGAGTGTTTCTTGTTGTGGTGAGTGTTTTCATGTTGTGGGTGAGTGTTCATGTTGTGTGAGTGTTTCATGTTGCGGTGAGTGTTTCTTGTTGCGGTGAGTGTTTCATGTGAGTGCGGTGAGTGTTTCATGTTTGCGGTGAGTGTTTCATGTTGTGGTGAGTGTTTCATGTTGTGGTGAGTGTTTCATGTTGTGGTGAGTGTTTCTTGTTGTGGTGAGTGTTTCATGTTGCGGTGAGTGTTTCTTGTTGCGGTGAGTGTTTCTTGTTGTGGTGAGTGTTTCTTGTTGTGGTGAGTGTTTCTTGTTGTGGTGAGTGTTTCTTGTTGCGGTGAGTGTTTCTTGTTGCGGTGAGTGTTTCTTGTTGTGGTGAGTGTTTCTTGTTGTGGTGAGTGTTTCTTGTTGTGGTGAGTGTTTCATGTTGTGGTGAGTGTTTCTTGTTGTGGTGAGTGTTTCATGTTGTGGTGAGTGTTTCATGTTGTGGTGAGTGTTTCATGTTGTGGTGAGTGTTTCTTGTTGTGGTGAGTGACACTGCCTCCCTCCTCCTGAATCCTCTGCTCCACAACCTCCACATCCTCTGTTCAGTCCTGGTTTAGTCCTGGTTTTAGACTTTGTTTAGATTTGGCCTAGTCTTGGTTTTGTCCTGGTTTAGTCTTTGCTTAGTCCTGATTTAGTTTTGGTTTAGTCCTGGTTTAGTTCTGGTTTAGTCTTTGCTTAGTTCTGGTCTAGACTTGCTTTAGTCTTAGTTTCATCCTGGTCTCATCTTAGTTTAGTCTTTGTTTAGTCCCTGGTTTAGTCCTGGTTTAGTCCTAGTTTAGTCCCTGGTTTAGTCCCTGGTTTAGTCCTGGCTTAGTCGTGGTTTAGTCCTAGTTTAGACCTGGTTTATGTCCTGGTTTCGTCCTGGTTTCATTCTGGTTTAGACCTGGTTTAGTTTTGGTTTAGTTCTGGTTTAGCCTTTATTTCATCCTGGCTTAGTCTTAGTTTAGACCTGGTTTAGTCCTGGTTTAGTCTTTGGTTTTTGTCCTGGTTTAAGTCTAGTTTGAGTTTGACAGTTTTGACAGTTCAAATACACAGATTTTTCCACAGAGACAGAAAAAAAAAAATCACACTGTATCTGATGATTTTTGTGTTAAATTTTATATATTTAACTCAAAAAATCCAGTCTCTAATTTTATTTTTTTTCTTCGAGTGTAAACAACAAAACCACGTCTGATCCAGAGAAACACGACGTAAAACTGGAGGTCAGAGTCAGAGTCTGAGTCTGAGTCTGAGTCTGAGTTTTGTACGACAAAAAAAACAGAAGCTCTTTTATCTGCACAGAACTCAGGTCCAGTGTGTTTGGACCAGAGCCACGGTGACCTGAGGTGACCTGAGGAGACCTGAGGAGACCTGAGGAGACCCGAGGTGACCCGGCGCAGCAGCAGGAGAACGAGGGAGCGCCGGGAGTGAAGAGTCGTAAAAGAGAACGAGAGAAGAAGGATGTGAGAGTAAATCTGTCACAAAATCACTCACACGCTCAGAAAAACGACAAAGACAAAGAACCAGAGACGAGAAGAACGGAGAGATCAGAGAAAGAGGAGAAGAACGGAGAGATCAGAGAAAGAGGAGAAGAACGGAGAGATCAGAGAAAGAGGAGAAGAACGGAGAGATCAGAGAAAGAGGAGAAGAACGGAGAGATCAGGTTTATTCACAACAGTCACGTGATTCATGTCGCTGCGCCACAAACACGGATTTTACTGCTAATGTAAAGTGATGGGCAGAAGAAACCAGTGTCGGGAGTAACAGATTACATGTACCGGAGTTAAGTAATCAGAGTACAAATGATGAGTAACTGTATTCAGTTACAGTTACTGTTTCAGTGCGTGGTAATTGGATTACAGTTACTTTGTTTCACCCCAACTGAGTGAACAGAGCGGAGACGACCCAAGTGTCTTTACACAACTACAATGTACGGTTTTGTATATTACTAATAATTTGTGTTTTTTTGGAGTCTCGAGGAAACAAGAGGCATTCCAATAAAATCAAATAAATAATAATCAAATCAAATCAAATACAAAAATAAATAAAATACATATAAATAAATAAATACAAATAAAATAAAATTACATTTTAAAAAAATTAAAAATAAAATGAAATTAAATTAAATAAAATGTGCAGGTTTGTGTGTGTCACGTGCGGAAAAAAGAAAAAAACAACAAAACAACAAAACCCCGCTCCTACAAACGTCGTTAGAGCACAGATCAGAAGCTGGTGTCACATGAGCCGTTTAAGTTTAAGTTTAAAATAAATGGTGGCGTTTGAAAAGGTCACGTCTCTCTGTTTCTCTCTTTATCTTTCATTATTCTGTCCTTCGTTCTTCTCTCTCTCCGTTTGTCTGCTCCTCTGATCTGACAGATGAGATGTGGCACGGCTCCCATCACTCAAACCTCTGTCCTCCCTCCCCCCCCCCCCCCTCTCTCTCTCTCTCCTTTATCTGATCTCTCCGTCTCACTCCCTCTGCTGCTCTCTCTCTCTCTCTCTCTCTCTCCTCTCATAATGTCATCCATCTCTCTTTCCCTCTCTCTCTCTGTCACTCGTCTGTTTGGTTCCCTCTCTTCATTAACCCTTCCAGACCTCAGAGTTACTTTGGTACGTTTTTCCTCACCTGGATTTTTTCCTTAATTTTGCATTTAAAACTCTCCCTTTTTTACCCCAATGAAGAGTTTTACATCCTTTTCTTTTTCACTAAAACCTGTAATTTCACTTAAGACTCAGGAACTAAACCAGAACTAAACCAGGATTAAACCAGAACTAAACCAGAACTAAACCAGAACTAAACCAGGACTAAACCAGGACTAAACCAGGACTAAACCAGAACTAAACCAGGATTAAACACAGTCAAAACCAGGACTAAGCCAGAACTAAACCAGGACAAAACCAGGTCTAAACCAGGACTAAACCAGAACTAAACCAGGTCTAAACCAGGACTAAACCAGGACTAAACCAGAACTAAACCAGTATTAAAACAGTCAAAACCAGGACTAAACCAGGATTAAACACAGTCAAAACCAGGTCTAAACCAGGACTAAACCAGGTCTAAACAGAACTAAACCAGAACTAAACCAGAACTAAACCAGAACTAAACCAGGACTAAACCAGGACTAAACCAGGACTAAACCAGGACTAAACCAGAACTAAACCAGGATTAAACACAGTCAAAACCAGGACTAAACCAGGATTAAACACAGTCAAAACCAGGTCTAAACCAGGACTAAACCAGGTCTAAACCAGACTAAACCAGAACTAAACCAGAACTAAACCAGAATTAAACCAGGTCTAAACCAGGATTAAAAATGTCAAAACCAGGACTAAACCAGGACTAAACACAGTCAAAACCAGGACTAAACCAGGACTAAAAACAGTCAAAACCAGGACTAAACCAGGACTAAAAACAGTCAAAACCAGGACTAAACCAGGACTAAACCCAGACTAAAAACTGTCAAAACCAGGACTAAACCAGGACTAAAAACAGTCAAAACCAGGACTAAACCAGGACTAAACCCAGACTAAAAACTGTCAAAACCAGGACTAAACCAGGACTAAAAACAGTCAAAACCAGGACTAAACCAGGACTAAACCAGGACTAAAAACAGTCAAAACCAGGACTAAACCAGGACTAAAAACAGTCAAAACCAGGACTAAACTAGGACTAAACCAGGACTAAAAACAGTCAAAACTAGGACTAAACCAGGACTAAAAACAGTCAAAACTAGGACTAAACCAAATTATAAAACACAAATGAAAAGGCAATTTATAAAAGCAAAAAAAAAAAAAAAAAAACCTGTGACATCTAGATGAAGAACCAGGGTATTTCCTCCAGTCAGTTCACTTCCTGCCCTCCGTCTGAAACGTGAAACCCAAATATTACGACGTCCGAATCCCAAAACTAAAATATGACAATATCAGAACCAGAAACAAAAGTGAAATGGTTCAAAAGACTTGAAAAGATCAACTTTGACAACAGACACGTCCCACTGGGAAAACAAACATGGAGGTTTGATCCTCACTTTTTCAGACGATCAGTTTTGAGCCTGTGTCTCTGTCCCAGCAGATTTATACAAAACCACTGATTTGTCCAAGTTTTGTACAAGAAATGTCCCAGTGTCTCTATTTTTGACCAATCTGACCTAAACCAACAGTAAAGACAAACAAAACTGACATTTGTTTTGGTAAAATTACAAAAAACACCAAGAAAATCTTCACTTCATGAATGAGCCGAGAGCAGAACAGTTTCACTTCATTTTGACTCGTTTCACTATTTTATTATTACAAACCACCACAAACCGAGAGCGTCCCAGGTTTTATTTTGAAATTCTGGTCACTATTAAAGGATAAACTCTTAATTTCTGTCATAAAAAACAGATCAGATCAGACTCATGAGTGTTTATAGACCAATAAAAGTCACACGAGTTTAGATGAATCTGAAGCTTTTTTTATCTGAAGTGTGGAACTTTAACACCAGTGCAGTTTCAGAGAGTTTAATCCAGACTGAGGATCTACAGTCATAAACCTGCTCTTCAGTCGTTCCTCCAGCTCTCCCAGGGCTCTGTGGTTTAGTCCGTCCACTCCAGTGACCAGCGCTGGACGTTACTTTTAAAGACGCGTCGTTAGAACTGGACATTTGGACGCCGATAAAAGCGTGTGACCCCTGAAAACCCAAAGGAGCGAACAGACCTTCCCCACGAGAAGACCTTCCCGTCTGAAGTGTCTGGATGTGGCTCTGTGGGACTTCAGGTTCATGTTTTTCTGAGGGCAAAATGTCGTTTTCTCCAGCAGTTTCATAAATCTGCCCCATCACCAAATCTTCAACCAACAAACTCCACAAAGGAGAAACATTCTAACATGAACAATTTATACACAATTACTGTATTTTATTTTTAAGGCGCATTAAGTGAAACAAATGGACGAAACTTGAGGCTGATCCCTGAGTCCAGACGTCCTCGACCCGTCGGCGTCGCCTCTGTTTTGGTGAATGTGTTTTACTCTGCGAGACTCCGACAATCAAACGGTGCGGCTTTGTAGTTTACCAAAGTCGTACTAAAACATTTTGACAGACTTTTGAGCGACGTGTACCACAGAAAATCAGTTCGAGGTCAGAAACACAACCAGAATTTATACACAAGGCACCGGATGATCACTGATGATTTTTGAGAAAATTAAAAGATTTTAACCTTATAGTCCAAAAAATACAGCATCAAGGGAAGAAAGACGAAAGACACTAAAAGGAAACAACGACGAGCTTCAGTCAAACACACTCAACTAAACTAATGTCAGGATCATGAAGAAAACAGAAGGAACTTGTTCACTCAGTTTTGTTCAGTGTCACTAAGGCGTCATCGTTGTTTCTTTACTCTGAATATTTTTCTGATCTGGTCGAGGAACATCTGAGGAACGTCTGAGGAACATCTGAGGAACGACTGAGGAACGTCTGAGGAACGACTGAGGAACGACTGAGGAACGTCTGAGGAACGTCTGAGGAACGTCTGAGGAACGACTGAGGAACGACTGGGGAACGTCTGAGGAACGACTGAGGAACATCTGAGGAACGTCTGAGGAACGTCTGAGGAACGTCTGAGGAACGTCTGAGGAACGTCTGAGGAACGTCTGAGGAACATCTGAGGAACGTCTGAGGAACGTCTGAGGAACGACTGAGGAACGTCTGAGGAACGTCTGAGGAACGTCTGAGGAACGTCTGAGGAACGTCTGAGGAACGTCTGAGGAACGTCTGGGGTCATTGTGTTCAGAACAGAAACAGAGAACAGCAAACAAAAACTCTGACCCTCTGAGCCATGGTACATGGAAGACAGGAGGAGAAAGACGAAAGGAAGAGGAGAGAGGGAGGAGGAGAGGAGAGGAGGAGGAGAGAGGAGAGAGAGAGGAGGGGAGGAGAGGAGAGAGGAGAGAGAGAGGAGAGAGAGGGAGAGAGGAGAGAGAGGAGGAGAGAGGAGAGAGAGGAGAGAGGGAGAGGAGAGGAGAGAGGAGAGAGAGAAAGAGGAGAGAGAGAAGAGAGGAGAGAGGGAGGAGGAGGAGAGAGGAGAGGAGAGAGGGAGGAGAGAGAGGGAGGAGGAGAGAGGAGAGAGGGAGAGGAGAGGAGAGAGGGAGGAGAGGAGAGGAGAGAGGGAGAGAGGAAAGAGGAGAGGAGAGGAGAGAGGGAGGAGAAGAGGAGAGAGGAAAGGAGAGAGGGAGAGAGGAGAGGAAAGACCCAGTGTGCAGTAATCCTGACCTCTGACCCTGTACCTGCTGTTTCAAGAGAAGAGGAAGAAATGAAGAGAGACGACGGAGAGAAAAACCCCGACCTCTGACCTCGTACAGGGAGAAGAGAACGAGAAAGAAAAGAGAGAAAAAGAGAGAGAAGAGGAAGAGAGAAAGAGAGAGCGACAGATTAGTTTGGAGATAATAAAGAGGAAGAAGTTCATCATCACGTCGTAAAACAGAAAAATAACCCGAGTTTTCCTCCGGAGCGAAGACGAAGCACCGAGATAAATATCATCCCTCCATCATTTACCGAACGACAAGTCAATACAGCGGAGAGAGAGAGAGACGAAAAAGGAGAGAGAGAAGAAGAAAAGAGGGAAGGAGGAGGAGGAGGGGAGAGAGACAGAGAGAGAAGAAGGAGAGGAAATGGGAGAAAGAGGGAGGAGAGCGAAGAGATAAAGTCATCGAAAAAAGAGAGGAGAGCGACAGAAGAAAAGAAGAGAGAAAGAGAGAAAGAGAGAGAGAGGGGGGGCAGTTAAACGAGTGTCTCCAGAGCGAGAGAACAACAGGAGGCGTCGCCCGCGGAGAAACGAACGAGTCCCAGCGTCGCTCAGAACCGGAAAACAAACGACAAAAGCACAAACAAACGAGAAAAAACAAGACTCAAGTCAGGATCAAACTAAACCTGGATCAGACTAAACCTGGAAACTAAACCTGGATCAGACTAAACCTGGATCAAACTAAACCTGGATCAAACTAAACCTGGATCAAACTAAACCTGGATCAGACTAAATCAAACTAAACCTGGATCAAACTAAACCTGGATCAAACTAAACCTGGATCAAACTAAACCTGGATCAAACTAAACCTGGATCAAACTAAACCTGGATCAAACTAAACCTGGATCAGACTAAACCTGGATCAAACTAAACCTGGATCAAACTAAACCTGGATCAAACTAAACCTGGATCAAACTAAACCTGGATCAAACTAAACCAGAATCAAACTAAACCTGGATCAAACTAAACCTGGATCAGACTAAACTAAACCTGGATCAAACTAAACCTGGATCAAACTAAACCTGGATCAAACTAAACCTGGATCAAACTAAACTGGATCAAACTAAACCTGGATCAAACTAAACCTGGAAACTAAACCTGGATCAAACTAAACCTGGATCAGACTAAACCTGGATCAGACTAAACCTGGATCAAACTAAACCTGGATCAAACTAAACCTGAATCACTCAAACCAGGATCAAACTAAACCTGAACTACTGTAGACAAAATGAAAGTAAACCTGGATTACTCAAGTGAGGATCAAATGAAAGTCAAAATCTAAACTAAACCTGGGTCAGTACTGTCGAGATCAAACTAAATCTAATTACTGTAGTCAAAACTAAACCTGGATCACTCAAGTCAGGATCAAACTAAACCTGGATCAAACTAAACCTGGATCAAACTAAACCTGGGTCAGTGCTGTTGAGATCAAATTAAACCTGATCACTCAAGTCAAAATCAAACTAACTATGACATTTAAACTCGTAATTATGAATTTTAAACTTGTAATTATGACTTTCTGTGAGGCTTTTATTTTTTTATTTACTGGTAAAATCAGCTTCCATAAAGACATTATTGTTCTTCTTCCTACGGGATTTGGGAAAAGTTTAATATCCCAGTTCTTCCTGTTAGTGACACTTTACAAACGTCACGACCAAACAGCAGCGATTGGTTAAATAAAAAAGTCCCCGCCTCCTGTCGAGTGAACGAATCCTAATCCTGCGAAGTCACACGATTTACACCAAGTGAAATTTAAATTAAATATTGGAAATAGACGTCAAAATTAGTTTTTTTGTTTGACACTTAAAACAAAATAATGAAATAAACTGTTTTTCTCATTTTGTCATTTTTCGTTCTTAATCGAAATTCGTTCGTTTGAGTAGTTGACTTTTAAAATATTCATTGATTTAGAGTTTTTCCCGTCCAGTCCAGTGGGTTTATTTCCAGAGTGTAAATGCAGAGCAGCCGTCGCCTCCCAGGACTCCACACAGTGTTGGTTTAACGGGCAGAGGAGTGCAGGGTAAACTAAGCCTGGATTACTGAGTCGGAGTTGACAGAATCCAAATGTTTGTGTTTTTGTCAGGCTCATGTTGAATTCAAATGAAGTGAGAGGAAAATCCTTTACAAAACGCTCGGCTCCGTCCCGGATCAGCTGCACGTCCAGTTAAACCTGCTGCAGACTCACACAGCGCAGAAACAACACAACACACACACAGTTATACACACACACACACACACACAATTACACACACACACAATTATCACACACACACACACACACAATTATACACACACACACACACACGCAATTATACACACACACACACAATTATACACACACACACACACACACACACGCAATTATACACACACACACACACAATTATACACACACACACACACACACACAATTATACACACACACACACACACACACACACAATTATACACACACACACACAATTATACACACACACACACACACACACACACACACACAATTATAACACACACACACACACACACACAATTATACACACACACACACACACACACAATTATACACACACACACACACACACACACACA